AGTTCATAAAAACAGAAAAGACGGGACAAGTTTACAGTTTGTGAAATCTTTTACACAGAAATTTTAGACTACAAAGCATGAATGAAAACCTACTACAAAAATTCCTTCATTTTACAAAAGACCAAAGGTAAAAAGGTTGGAAAAAAAGTCAAGATCTATTTCCTAATAAGTACGTTGTTTCAACTTTTATAAAGAAAATGAAACAAAGGATATTTAGAAGGACGTTCTACCATAAGCAGTCTGCATCCTCCTCCGCATTTTTCATGTCTAAAACACAGGCAGTTCAATTGCCCACAACTCCAACCTATCCTGCAGAGAAAGTACCGGTAAAAAAAAAGGAGTAGATGATGAACTACATCCCAGTTTAAAATCAAGAATACTACAACTATATCAATAATATCAGTTGGCTAACAACTGAGAGCCAAAATTACTGAAAGTGACATTGATCCAGAGCTGAGTGACGATGATTAGCTATTATAAATATTAATTTTATGTTCAGTTAGTTGTTTTTTGCTTTAAAATATTTTGGAATATTTACTAAATATGTTGAATGTGTGTTGCATTCATAAATAAAAGTACTTTGAGTCTTCAAAATTTGATTTTTTATTTTCTTTCAAACGATTTTACCTTTATTGTTTTTAAATTTGTGTTAAAAGGTCGATTTTTTAGAATTTTTTGCATTCAATTACTTAAAAAGTACTGTACTAAACTATTTGAAACTTTACCAAAATTATAAAGTAGTAACTTTTACTTTCTATTTAATTTTCCGAAACTTTGTTAATAGAAAGTTTTTTTCGATATGAAGTTTTTTTATTTTTTGAAAAATAAAACAAACTTTCAACAAAAACTATTCCATTGAAAATTTTCCGGATTCTTCTTAATGTACATATCAAATGTCAAACTTAGATTTGCATTCTTCAACACTTCGCCTGTACGCTTCAGCTGCACAAAGGCCAATTAATTTATTTAAGAATAATTTGATAGGTAAAGGAAGAGGGTTAACGACTGAAGCCGTTAACCCTCTTCCTGTGACTGTTTAAATTTCATGTTTATTAAGAATTGGATCATAATGTAAAATCAAATCCAGGAATCCTAAGAGTTTCCATTATGAGAATTACCAATTAGGTAAGATTTTCCACAAAAAACCAGTTTACGTTCACCAAGAAGCAGAATCACACCCAAGGTTTGTTTCAAGATTTTTCTCCAGGTGGCAGCCTCATTGAGGACTTGACGATTCACAAAATGTTCAGTTGACTAGCTAGTTTTCATTAAAAATTTCCATGTCACCCCACTGAATGTAGCATTTTTTGTGCGCAGGAATTCGACTGATGATGCTCTTCTACTTTTTTTCATATACCTATCCTCCAATAGGAGGATGGGTATATGAAAAAAAGTAGTTTTCATTCTTTAAGTTTTTCTTAATGAAATTATTCCATTGAAACACTAAACTTTCAAAAAATATTGGAGTTCTGTATAAGACCAAAATTTATCTAAATAAAAAAAGTTTGACCTAACCTATTCATTGACCTATTTAATCATAGCTATATAAATTATGCAGGTATTGCTTGCGGAAGTGTCGAGAAAAATTAGTTACAACTTTTTTGTCACCGCCAGAAATGCGACATCGTGTGATTTATTTTGCGAATCGTTTTTTCTATCGAGATGAAAATACTTAACGTAACACTCTGTTTAATTGTAATCATAACGTAATATTTCAACATTTCTTAAAGTATAAACTACTGCCAAAATGCAAAAAAAAGTACAAAACCTGGCAAAAGAATCTATCAGTTAGTAAAACAAAAAAAAGACTTATATATAACTTCTTAAACAAAGTAGTATAACAAGTTAAACAAAGTTAAACAAAGTTAAACAAAGTTAAAAATAGTTAAACAAAGTTTAAACCTCACTTAAACAAAGAAGGGAGTATGACTTCTTTCCCCTCTTGTTTCCTGCGCAAAAATGTTCTAAACGAATTGGAGAGTCTTGTGGTACCCGAGAATCACTAATATTGAACTTTGTCTCAGACAGTTAGCATATTTGATCTGCTTGGAAAGCAGTATACTGTTTAAAATTTTTTTTTATAGAGAGAACTAGCACATAAATTATTGATAAGCTTGAATAGGTATTGTGGGATATATATATTATTAATTACAAACAATTAAAATCAAGGAAATAATTACTTAAATTACAAGGTGATAATTTTTTCCTTTAAAGAATATAGTTATTTAAATAAATGAAACCACTTGTCATTTTACTTGATGACATTACTACAAAAGATTTTTACTGCTCTTCAAAAGACTGTTCTCTTTTTCAAAAGACTTTCATCTGACTGGCCCAACAAACTTTTTATTTGACAATTATTTCAGTTATCCTATCTAAATTTTTTTAATGCTGGTATTTTTATAAACGCTTTTCAACCATTTATTCCTTTGAAAATACTGATAATTTCACGCAATGCAAAAGCCAAGTCAAACAATGCTATAAATAACAAATCAATATTTTGGTCAATATAATGAAAATGGTAGTTGTAGCATTAAAAAAGTTAAACAAAAAAAGGTTGGTATTACTTAGTAGAACACTCATGTAAATACTAATTTTAAAATAATGACCGAATATCACAGTAATCGGTAACGTTTTAAGGTCTACGTAGTAAAAATCTAAGAAAATAAACTAAAACTGCAATAAATTAGGGATGTTTCGGAATTTCGGCCAGATTTTTTTTCTTTCAGATCAATTCGCTTCTGTAGTTAAACTTTTTTTTTTATGACATGTGACACAGGCAGTGTAAATAAATCAAAAAATCATTATCCGACAGAGCAATGAAGAACTATAAATGAACCTAGGTAAAAATACAAATGTAAGTTTATTTTTAGAAATAGTAGTACTGCAAATACATTTGCAAAAATACCATTGGTACTTTTTACCTGTTTACTTATAGTTCTTCATTGCTCTGTAGGATAATGATTTTTTGATTTATTTACACTGCCTGTGTCGCATGGCATAAAAAAAAAATGTTAAACTACAGCCAGAAGCGAATTGATCTGAGAGAAAAAAAGTCCGGTACATCCCTACTATAAATTCATTACCAGTTAACCAATCCGGCTAAAATTTCATTCAGAGTTTGGTGCGAACTTTGATTTGTTGAACACCCCGCCACTTAAAAAGCATTCATTTTTTAGTAATGTTGATAGGCTAAAGTTGAAGTTGACTTCGTCTATGTTGAATCAAAACTATGAATCAATTTTAAGTTTAAACTAATATTTTAAATCTTTAATCAAGTAAGGAAAAAAGAATACTCTTATTCAACTTATAAACAAACATTTATTTATTGATAAATAATAATGTATTGCATAAAAAATTAAAAATATTAAATGCAAACAGACCCGTAACAACAGGAAGACACAGCCTGCCTGTATACAGTTTGCGCCTGCTAGCAGTAATCTTTCCATTAAATAAATATAATATAATTTTGTCTACAGCAATTCTGGTGTGCAAATAAACCTGTAAATAAATTTCTATTAACAGGGCTGAATGCAACATAATAATTAATTTGAAAATTAACATCAATTTTTAATTAAACTTGTAATAAATAAAAAAATTACAATTTTATTTAGATATTTTTTGTTCGTACGATTTTCCTTTTAAACTTTGAGTTTTTCCTCTAGGATTTTTACTATTATACTTTTTTTCCCCTCCAGTGTTTTCACATTTCTGTGAAGCATTTTCATTTATACCCATTTGGTCTAAGAAGTTGTACATGCCCATGCTATCTTTTTTGATTGGACCATCACGATCGGAGCTTTTAAATCAATTTATTGATAAATAATAATGTATTGCATAGAAAATTAAAAATATTAAATGCAACCAGACCCACAACTACAGAAAAACAAGGCCTGCCTGTATATACTTTGTGCCTGCTAGCAGTAATCTTTCCATTATATAAATGTCTTACCTTGCTTTTAAAAGTAAAACAACAAATTTTCTTCTCCTTTATCATTATTTATTCAAATATGACTAATATTTAAAAACTTTATTTTTTTGATTCAATACTTTATTTTTGTAAACTTATGATCTTTGCACCTAAACATTATTATTATGTTTTTTTTATCGATCAAAAGTATGGTTTAGCGTTTTTAAATGTTACTGTACTAAAGTTACTTCAACATGGTACCATGGTGACATTTTTTCGTGCATATAAAATATAGAATATTATATATAAATCTAATAAAAAATATAAGCTAATTTCTTTCTAATTTAATAAAAAAAAGAATCAACAAGTACATATCTCTATATATGATTGTATGTGTATATATATGTATGCGCGTATGTGTGTATAAACATGCATACATGATGTTTAATGTGATTAACAAGGTTTTTTTATTAGAAGGAAATATTTATTTGTATACCCAGGCGAGTATCACACTTAATGTAGGGTCCGATACGTTTCATAGTAAAAACAAGAAAAAATTTGTACGATAAGACACATAAAAAACTTACCGCATTCTTACCCAATTTTTTTATGAATTAGATCTACTTAAATTTAAAAATAAGCAAAGTTATATAATATTATTTAAAATTTAATAACTTTTTTTTAATTGAAATATTTTAAAGACAATATTTAAATAGAAATATTTTAAATTTCTATTAAATACTTAGGATAACAAAAATTGTAATCATGTTTAATTGAGAATATAATGTTTGTACGCGTGTGTGTGTATTTTATATATATATATATATATATATATATATATATATATATATATATATATATATATATATATATATATATATATATATATATATATATATATATATATGTATATGTATATATATATATATATATATATATATATATATATATATATATATATATATATATATATATATATATATATATATATATATATATATATATATATATATATATATATATATATATATATATATATATATGAAACACGTAGAGGAGATAATTAAACTTTTATTTATGAAGCAAAATATCGATTTAAAAAATATTAAACGGAATTTAATACTAAATTATCGTCTGTAGAATCTTCACTCAAAATTTGAGGATTGTAGTTCGAATTTTGCTCATCGTCAACAGTATTAAAATCGTTTTCCACTTTTAAGTAACGCTCAGTATCCTCTTGTTTAAAGGTCATATTATTGTCTAGTGAGCTCGAGTAATCTACGCTATTGTCGCCATTATACATATCAGTATTATCGGAACTATACATTGTAGGCAAATCAGAATTTTCGGGTCCCGTTGTAACCCGATTCATGCTTAAACTATCTGAAGAAGACATATAATGACCAGATGTTGAACAAATCAAATTATCTTGGATCATATTCTGTTCCATTTCCATGGAAACTTCACTCGTTTCCAACTCGTTTGCTTGAGTAATAGCAATCATTGTCGAGTTATCATCAGTTTCAAGCACTGTTGCATGAATACTTGAATTTATACCAAGAGCTTCAGCTACCTCTGGAAAGTTAAGAATTTCAGCTGCAGTTAACGGGTGTCCGCTTGCAGTCATGACTCGACCATCAGATGAGGTAATTATACCTGCTTGAGCTAATGTTTGTGCTGCTACTGTAGCAGTTTTAGACTGAGTACCATCATTTCCAGTCATAGATAACGATACAATAATATCAGTCGATGTGAGCTCGTGTTCTTCTCCAGACATCTCGTCGTCTTCTTCTTCATCATCGTCATCATCTCCAGCAATAACTCCGTCATCATCTATAGGAATTGTGCCATCGCCTATATAAATATATAAAATAAAGATTAAAAAGCTAAGTACAATATCAAAAAGGTACGAAGTGCAATTTCACCGAAAAGAAAATTATTTTTATCTTACCTTCGCTACAGTGCATTCGTTTCACATGTTTATTAAGAGACGAACGTTCTTTAAACATTTTACCGCATTGAGGACATCCATAGGGTTTTTCGTCCGAATGAGATAGTTGATGCCTCTTGAAATCGTACACACGATTGAATTCTTTTCCGCAGTCACATATAAACGGAGTTGGTGAAAGTATTTCTTTTTCGATTGGGTCAGGCTTTTTTTCACATAGCATAAAGTGAGTTTTTAAATCAGATTTTTTCGCAAACTGCATGGCGCAATATTTGCAATATACTGTTGTCCCGCGAACTTCGTTTCGCCCACAGACGTTTCTTTGATGCTTCCGTAAATGTGACATTCGCCCAAACTTTTTACCGCATCCATCACAAGTAAATGGTTTTAAATGATCATGCCGAGTACGAATGTGCATTGTAAGTGTAGAATCATGACGAAATTGTGCTCCACACCTTTAATAATTCAAAATATTTTGAAAATTTTTCTGAACAAAATATTGGATTTATTACACTTTTTAAACAACTAAAATTTGTTTAATCTTTGTTAAGTACGATTTTAATTTATTACAAACCTGTTGCAAACGTAGGGTTTTTCTCCTGTATGTATCCTCTTGTGAACATTCAACTGATGCAAACGTCGAAAAGTGCGAGGGCATTCATCGCACTCAAATTTTTTTACATCTAAAGAATAGCAATGTTTTTAATTTAGTTTGAAAAAAGATTCAAAAAAAAAAAAGAAAAAAAAATATCACGATGTTAAACTTTTTACTGGACTTTAAATTTTTTTTTGTTTTTGAAATATACGCCAAAAAATTTTCGAGAAACGTACACATTACCGCGTATAAATTCAAGAACTCCTATTGTCATATTTTTATGCCATATGGTTTTTGAAGTTGCGAAAACCTGAAGTCAGAACATTTAGAGATCCAAGAGTCTAATTAAATACAATGGCCTCTAATGACTACAAACTCAAGAGTCCGGTTTGGATTCTCCATTCCTAATAATTATTTTTTACATTATTTTACATTCTAATCTTCACATTTAGAAAAAACTTTAAAAATTTCAGATACTTTATGATTGTTTATTGCTATAAATTTTTATAAATTCCTTATACTTGTGTTAAATTTAATGTTATATATTAATTGAAAAATTATCCTGACGATTTTTCAAAACAATTAGCGCTAATAAAATATAAAAAATCCAAAAAAAACAAACAAACATTTTAACCTTTACTTTTTTTACAAATATGACTCATTATAGGTGAAAAAAAAATAATTCAATGTATTTAAAAGGAAAAAAAAATCTTCAATAATGTCTTAAGAGTTACACATGGTTGAAATAAATTATTGAATCTGTAGATTCAATTGTAGATTAAAATAAACCATAGGTTTATTTTAAAAAACCTAAAAAGACCATGGTTTTTTGGTTTAAACTCCTTTTTTTTTTTTTAAAAAAAAAAAAAAAAAAAAAGCCATGTTTAGTCAACTTTTTTAATTAAAAAAAAAGCAATTGTCATTTTATTTAAGTTAAATATATTTTCTATTAACATAACTGCTGTATCAACCAATACATCATTATTAACATAACTGCTGTATCAACCAATACATCATTATTTAATGCTCTTTTTCTACTCATATCTTGATTGAAAAATGATAACATGTTTATCCGCTCTTTAAAAATTTCATGTGTCACTATTGTTTGCAATCTAATTTCATCGTTTGATCTCTTTAAAAATTTCATGTGTCACTATTGTTTGCAATTTAATTTCATTGTTTGATCTCTTTAAAAATTTCATGTGTCACTATTGTTTGCAATTTAATTTCATTGTTTGATCTCTTTAAAAATTTCATGTGTCACTATTGTTTGCAATTTAATTTCATTGTTTGATCTCTTTAAAAATTTCATGTGTCACTAATGTTTGCAATTTAATTACATTGTTTGATCTCGTTAAAAATTTCATGTGTCACTATTGTTTGCAATTTAATTTCATTGTTTGATCTCTTTAAAAATTTCATGTGTCACTATTGTTTGCAATTTAATTTCATTGTTTGATCTCTTTAAAAATTTCATGTGTCACTATTGTTTGCAATTTAATTTCATTGTTTGATCTCTTTGAATCATATCCAAAACAACTCCAATTGGTTTCAATACTTTCAACAAAATTAGTTTGGTTCAAATTTATATTTTTTCGATTGGTTTAAACCATTTGGTTTAAACATATAAGCCCTGGTATATATTAAACCCTGGTATATACTAAAATGACAAGACAAGTTTTTGCTAATATACATTTAATATTTAGATAAAAAAAAAAAAAAATTAAGTTTTTTAAACATGATATTTAAAATGAACGCAACAAATGTTGGAGCCTTAAAGTAAATTTTGTTTAGCATACACAAAATTGTAAAAAAACATTAAATTTAAATTGAGATTTAAGTTAATTTTAAAAGAAAAGATGAAAAGTTAGCAACCATATAAAAAAAGGGAAAACTATATTGTGAAACAGAAGATACAACTTTAAAGAAATTCTCACGCAGCCCTGTTAATTTATGGTTGTTTTGATTTAACTATTGTTGAGAGCTTTTTTTTCATTTCATCTTTAATTAAAATGTGTAAATATGTTAAGTATTTAATACTTAAAACCAAAAATTAAAAAAGTTACAACCAACTTTTTGTAAAAAACAAATATAGCTTTTAAGTTTTTGTCAATTTTTACCACATCTAAAGTTTAGTTCAATTTCAACAGTTTAAAGATATTATTTAAGAAACAAAATCTAAAATTTTTTTTTACCACGCTGAGTTTTAAGATTTTTCTTGAAAAATCTTAAAACACAATCTTTTAAAAATCTTAAAACACAATCTTTTAAAAATCTTAAAAACACAATCTTTTAAAAATCTTTAAACACAATCTTTTAAAAATCTTAAAACACAATCTTTTAAAAATCTTAAAAACACAATCTTTTAAAAATCTTAAAACACAATCTTTTAAAAATCTTAAAAACACAATCTTTTAAAAATCTTTAAACACAATCTTTTAAAAATCTTAAAACACAATCTTTTAAAAATCTTAAAAACACAATCTTTTAAAAATCTTAAAACACAATCTTTTAAAAATCTTAAAAACACAATCTTTTAAAAATCTTAAAACACAATCTTTTAAAAATCTTAAAACACAATCTTTTAAAAATCTTAAAAACACAATCTTTTAAAAATCTTTAAACACAATCTTTTAAAAATCTTAAAACACAATCTTTTAAAAATCTTAAAACACAATCTTTTAAAAATCTTAAAACACAATCTTTTAAAAATCTTAAAACACAATCTTTTAAAAATCTTAAAAACACAATCTTTTAAAAATCTTAAAACACAATCTTTTAAAAATCTTAAAAACACAAATACAACTCTAGTTGTCAGTATTTTTGTAGTTTTGATATTTATCAACATTTATTAATTATTTATCAACATTTAAAATTATTTTATTGAAATTACTACTGAATTTTGTAAGCCACAACTAAAAAAACTCATTTAAAATGAATTTATGATTCTAGAAAAGTTCTCAAAATTTATATTGGAGCTATTAACTGCTTGGATTGGGTGGGGTGCATCCATAAAGCATGTACATATTTACTCTATAAATTGCCTGGGTAAACTGACTTTTATGCTTGTATAACTTAAATTTACACTTAAATATGTTCGAGAATTATTAAAATTATGAAGAACTCCAGGTTATAAAAATTCATTTATTCAAGAATAGAAAAAGGACAAAGAAAAAAGTAAAGAAAGTTGTTATATGCGTAGCACTTAAAATGTTAGGTTATACGTTACACCTTGTTTCAACATTTATCACACAAAAGAAAACTGATAGATTGCTTTCTAAAACCAAAACCCTCAGTCGATGTAGTGGCACTCCATGCATGTTCTACCTGTTTAAGTCAGTCAACGCATGTACACTCTTTACATGTTATACCAATTTAAGTCAGTCAATGCATGTATACTCTTTACATGTTATACAAATTTAAGTCAGTCAATGCATGTAAACTTCTTGCATCTTCTACCTATTCATTCAGTCGCGCTAATCCCTCATTAAATCAGTAGACAATGTTAAAGTGAAATTAAAATAGGATTAAATAAAAATGTTGTGAACTTAAAAAAACAACATAGTTAAGTTTCATTCATGTATTTTTTTTTAAAATACTTTAGAAAACTCTAAAAATGTTAAAAATGTACATTTTTTAGTTTTTTTTACTATGAAAGAAAAACTTTCAAAAAATAGAATTTTAGAGGAACACTTTTTATTTCAATTTTAAAAAGAAAATGGTACGAAGATAACTAGTTTATTAAATATTCTTTATTAATTTATTAGTAATTTAGATATCTAAACAACAATTGTATAGAAATATAGAAGACTATACTTGAACACATAGATTTAGACCTTCCTATATTTATGAACGATAATGTATATTTATGAACGGTATTATATTTATGAATGGTAATGTATATTTATGAACTGTATTATATTTATGAACGGTAATGTATATTTATGAACGGTAAATAATTTAGACCTTTCTCTATTTATGAACAGTAATGTACTCGATGAGTCATCTACCCTTCATCTTCTAGAATTAATTCTTACTTCTGATCTTTCTTGGAAACCTTATATCAAATCCGTTGCAAAATTAGCATCTGCTAAAGTTGCATCTCTTTATCGAGCTTGACACTTTCTTACTCTGGATTCTATTCTCTATCTCTATAAATCTCAAATGCGGCCTTGTATGGAATACTGTTGTCATATCTGGGGCCAGGGTTGGCAAAAAAACCCAACCCAAAAAAACCCAAAATATATTTGGGTTTTTTTAAAAATGTCCTACTCTACAACTAATAACTCTGATTTTAACACTTATAAATGCTCTATTATTAGTAAGTGCAACTTTTATGCTGTAATTACTCTTGTAAACACTGTATTTATATACAAATTGGTATTTAGAATATATCCAAAACCAATCAATCTGTTTTTGTAGCAAATTGGTTATCTATTATTATTTTTAAACATATAGCAAGTTATTATAAATATTATTGAAATATCTAAACATTTAATTAGTTAAATACTAATAAAGGAAATAAAAATTATTCTATTAACTTAATTTCAAAGTACAAAACATTACTAGTTATTTAGTATCTTTATTCTCCTCTCGAATGTCTCTATTTCCAAACAAGCGTTCTATAGATGTCATTTTGTATTGGTATTTGATCTTTTATTTTTTAAAGCTTATGTTGTAAAATGTGAATTTCAGTACAAAGCCACAAGCAAAATACTATATATATAAAAATTGTTAAACTTTATTCACAGTCTAGAAATGGAAAGTTGTCAGGCAAAAAAAAAAAAAAAAAAAAAAAAAAAAAAAAAAAAAAAAAAAAAAATGCTACAATTTACTAGATTTGTCCTTATTAAGTGCTTACAACTAAAATTATATTATGTGCAAGGAAGTTTCATTTAATGAGAGAACATGTTTAAAACTTGTATACAGTTTACAAGGACAAGATTTGTTGGTAAAAATGATACTCATGCTCATCTGTCTATTTTACAGGTTTTGAATATTTTGCATCAGCTACAAGTTTACAACATGTACCGTCAACAGGGGTCATTATGAACATGAAAATGAACATCATTATGAACATGAAAATGAACATCAGTACCAAGTTTGCTAAAAGATGAAGAAACACACACAATAGAGCTATATATTGTGTTACTTTGATTCAGTTGTAAAACTGAGCTGGTAAAACATCTTTAAGTAAAAAAAAAGAATCTGGTGGTGAAAACACTGTAATGGTTATTAACAAATTCATTTTAGATATTTCAAGATTAATCAAAGCTTAGGCACAAACCCATTTGCAAAACAAATCTCTCCATAATCTAAAAAATAAAACATTATGAAATGTCAATATCATCCCAAATTGGCTAATCATTACTCTCTAATCTTAAACATTTGGATATAATTGTTAAGTTATTTTATGTAATTTTGTATAAAGAAATATTTTAAATATTGATTACATTATTTAAGTTCTAAATATCCCTGTTAGATTAGCTGAATTCCCTGTTTCTGATCATTCTTCTGAAGGTTGTCGATTGATGATGGAAGCCCAAAAACTTGGCTTACCGATGGAAGCTTATCTTACTATTTTAAAAATACTAATATGATCATATAAATTAAGAAAATAAAGATAATTACTGCATAATGTTGATCAGGCCGATAACTTTTCCAGGAAGCTGGATAGTATAATGTTCTGTTAAAAAAAAATGTAACAGTTTTCTTCTATGATGCAAAAATGTTTAAAAAGTGTTTATAGTCATCCTGATTGACAATAATTTACAAGGTTGCAACATCATGTTGCAAACTTGTTGATTACATGTTGTAAACTTGTTGATTACATGTTGTTTTTGAAATGATATGTTGAGCATGTTAGTATAAAAAATTAGTCTGCAACATTTATATTGTCTTACTAACTTTGAATAACTCAATTGTCATAATAATTTTTATTATGACAATTGAGTTATTTGTTTACATTGTCGTAATGTTGCTTCTCTTTCTCTTTTCTACAAATATTATAATAGGCACTGCTATAAAAAGCTAGCGTCTCTTGTGCCATCTACTAAAATTCATTCTCATGTTACTCGTCATTCAATTAAGTCCCTTTTCTGTTACTGTTCCTAAGTGCTCCAAAAACTCTTATTCGCCTAGATTTTTTCCTCGAACATCAGTTCTTTGAAATTCGTTTCCTTCATCTTGCTTTCCTGATTCATATAATTTGCAATCTTTTAAATCGTCTGTCAATCATTATCTTGCTCTCCAATCTTCATCTTTTCTCTTTCAGTAACTTCCAACACTAATTAGTAGTTGCTTGCAGCCTTATTGAAAGCAAAAAAAAAAAAAAAAAAAAAAAAAAAAAAAAAAAAAAAAAAAAAAAAAAAAAAAAAAAAAAAACATTGCTTAAATAAGTTACTTTTAAGTATAATAATAGAACAACACAAAATAAAATTATTCTAAAAACAACATTATGGTAATAAAAATAAAAGTGCATTCAACTGTTAAATTAAAACTTATAAACGTAATCTTTAGAATAAACAAATCTGCCTGTAAACAAAGTCAAAATAAACAATTTCTCAAAAAAAATTCTAAGTAAGGCATAAAGTTTATTTATTATTTAATTATTATTAAAATGCAGGATAAAAATATCAAAATGCCATCAGTTGGAAAATCAGTCAACTTATAAAAAAAGGCAGATGCCAATACCGATTCTGATTGCGCAAAAAGTGGGCAATTAAGTCAATGCTGATTAATTAGTACATCACTGGTGTGTGTGTATATATATATATATAAAACTTAAACTGTTTAAAACTAACCTGTATGTATTTGTAAATGCTTTTTAAGATCAGAAGGATATTTGAAACATCTTCCACATTGTTCACAACTACGTGGATCTGTACTTAGTCTTCTACGAGGCGCCAAACCAACTGCAGAAGCTGCAGAGCGAGCAGCAGACAAAACTTAAAAAAACATATGAACACAAATGAAAACTTTAAAATAAATTTAAATACTAATACTGCTCGTAAATATAGATATCAGTCTTCTCTATTTAGCTAGTGCTTTTGCGCTTAAGTCTTTTCACGTGCGAATGCATACAAGAAGTGTTGTTTTTTTAATAGAAAATACAAGTTGTATTTTCTATTAAAAATACAACAGCTGTTTTATTTTTTATTAAAAACACAAAAGTTCTGTTTTAAAAAAATCTGTTTTCTAATCATTTTTATTATTAAGTAAATAGTACTTATGCATGAATTTTTTGCACTGAGCTTTTGAAACGGCAAAAAAATATTGCTGATGACTGCATTTTTTTCAATGATATTTATTCATATTATACAGAACATCATAAATGAGATGTTTTTCTATTTAGGTTTTTCTAGTTTTGAATAATTTCTATTATGAATTGATATTTGCAAAATAATTCTTAAGCCCATATTTTTCCCCTTTTGAATCAATAAGCCTAAGTATAAATAAAACAAAGAAGAGAGTAAAAAAAACTTACTGTTTCTTTTATTACTAAGACTAGTAACATTATGTAATGTTAAATTTCCTGATAAATCACTTGCAGCCATTATTACTTGACCATGATCAAGAGATTGCAGATAAGCAACCATTGGTTGCCCATTTCCTGTTTGTTGAAGAATTGATTGCTGACTTGGTATACTTAAAACAACCTGAAATTAAACTAATTAGTTTAACTAACATATATATTAGAGAAAAAGATTATACTTACAAAATAAAAAGTTTACTCTCAAACCTGTTGTCCATTTTCTGAACTTAAAGATTTGCTATCGACATTAATATTTGAAGAGCTAGCCATAACAACTTGCTGTAAACTCATTCCTTCTTGTACTAAACCAGCATTTGCTAAATCATTTTCATCAACAGGTTGCAAAGTGACATATGGTTGGTGCTGTTGCTGTGGATCTTGATTTGATAAACCAGGAGCATGCATAGCAATAAACATTTGTGACTGACCACCTGTTTGTAAGAAAATATCAGGTTATAGTAATAACTAGAGTGAAACAAGTTTAAACATTTCAATAATAGACTGTTTAATGCAAAGTAGATTAATCTATGACATAAGGTGAAAGAAAAATAATAGACTGTTTAATGCAAAGTAAACTAATCTATGACATAAGGTGAAATAAAAATATTAAAACAGAGACTATATTTAAAAAAATAATAGCAAAAATCAAGTTTGGTTTAAATTTAAAAAAATTAATAAAAAAAAAAAAAAACTGCAGAAACACCTAATGACTGAAAAAAAAACCTGAGGAAATTTTTAAAAGTCTACTATCATATTTATATATTTTTCTAATAAATACAAACAAAAACAGTCTGAATTGAGCAACATAAAAAAAGGATAATACATAGTTCAAATAACTGAGCATATCAAAAGTTTACAAAAAGAAAAAAATTTAACGCTCGCTTATAATAATTATAAATGATCGTGGCATAGCAAGGATCATTCTTGAAAATCAAACCTAAATTTATCTACATTAACAATATAATATGTTTTATTGTTGTTTTATAAAGCTTTTAACGATAAAAACTTGATGCGCTTTAAAAATGAAAAAATGTTTAAGCGTCACTTTATAAAGTTACAAATAGCTTTTTATAACTTTATAAAGTAGTTTAAATAACGTAATATTTGTGTTTTTACTTTTTTAAGTATCATGTTAAGTTAAAACAATTAATAAAAGTAATATCATAATTTTATTAAATACATTACTTTCACATTACACTATTACTGCCACTTAAGTTTTTAAGTATAGCTTAAGCTGTAGATTATAACAGTAAGCTATTTTAAACTCCCCCCTTCTCTCCCAAATAAGAATATTATGAGATTATTTAAATATTTTTTCAACATAATAATCAGGGATGCGGAGTCCCAAAAAGGACTCCAAACTTGAAAGTCACAAAAAGATTACTTCTTAGAAGTTTTTGGTATCCAGGAGCTTTAAAAATATAAAAAAACTTATGACAACTAATGGGGGAAAAAATCAAGACTTAAGTTAAAGGAACAACCAATTTTCGAACCTGGAGTCCTTAGGTATAATTGCGGCAAGGACTCCAGGACTCTGGGCTTTAAAACAATTTCAACAGTTTCAAGTCATTAAAAATTATAAATTTTTTTCAAGTTTTTAGAGCTTCAGGACACCAGAGACCATGAAAAAATAAAGATGTAAAGACAGAATCCTTTTAGAACTCTGCATCTCTGATAATAATTATTTAAATTATGTTAAAAAATAACAACTACAACAAAATGTTTAAAAGATACAACTTTGTACTAAAGTAACCACTCTTACTGCAAAGTGGTGGCAGGGGGAAAAGGAATTACATAAAATAAAAAAATAAAAAAAAAAAAATTGGGGTCGAGGCAACAACATCAGTTTTTATCACGTCTAATAACATCTGTCCAACAACATTTATAAAAATAATAAAGTATAATAACATCTGTCCAACAACACCTGAAATTTTATTGATGTCTAATAACATCTGTGCAAAAATTAAATGAATATTACAGATGTACATCTTTTTAATTTTCTAAGTATAACAACATCTGTGCAACTACATCTGGAAATTCTACAAATGTAGCTACATCTTTTAAATTGTCGAAGTGTAATAACATCTGTGCAACTACATCTGAAGATTTTATTAAATAATAATGCATCAATTTACCCAGATGTTGTTACATAGGAATTTTTTCAAATGTAACAACATCTGCAAAAAAAATTAACTAATAATGTATTATTTTAACCAGATGTTATTACACATAGGAATTTTTTTAGATGTAACTATATCTGGAGAAAATTCTTCCAGATATTTGAAGACCATAATCCAGATACACCAAGTAAAGCACCATTGGTCTAGTCAGTTAGCATTTTTAAATTATAAAATTGATAAAAAGATGGACAATCTTTAAATATTATTTTAAGCTTACTACTTTTTGTTTTTCTTTCAATTCACTTTTTTAATAAATTATCAATTGATAATTTGATTGTCATTTATAATTTAATTTTAAATTTAGGTAAATTCCTATTTAAAAAAAAAAAGTCATTTTTGAAACAAAATTTTATTACATAATTTAGTAAAATAAAAGAACTTTAACAATAACACTTTTTTGAACTCTTAAATTGTTATAATTCTGGTTAGATAAAAAGCATAAAAACCTCCTTCTCCATCAGGTGCTTGGAGTATAACATAAGTGGGTTGGTGGCCACCTTGCTGACTTTCCAATGTCACCAAAGTGTTGTTTGAGGTCTAAATAAAATTAGTTATTTTAGCCCTACAATAAAAGTGAAAAAAAAAATTAACAAATTTAATAAAAAGAAAAAAGGACCACTAACAGTGTCAAAAGTTTAGTGACATAATATATAATATAACATCTGGAGCTGTAAATGTATACAATATTATATCTCAATCACTTTTACTACAAAAAAAAAAAAAAAAAAAAAAAAAAAAAAAAAAAAAAAAAACTAAGAATGTTATGTAGTTAAAACTAGATAATTGTAAACTTAATGGCATTAAAAATAAGTAGATTATTTCATTCCTTAAATGAAAGTTGTTATTTTTTTTCAAGATAAAAGAATAAGAATATGAAATATGATTAAGAATATAAAAACTATATTCTCTGAAGAATTTGAAAACTATTTTAAATAATCTTTGAGCTTGGTTTGTTAGTCATACTTAATTTACTTTTAAAATAAAATACAGTAGTAACATAAAAGTGACATTAAAACAAAAAAAGTACAATACTATATATTAAAACTATTATAATTGTTATACATATAATAAAAATGCAAAATAAAAAAGAAAATTATAATACTTAAATGTAGAACATTTAATTTATATAACAATAACAATAAAGAACAAAAACAAAATTTATTAGCTGTAAGCACTGATTTCTATAAGTACTAGGCTGCACATCTTTAAAAGAAATACCATTTTTAAGCCCAAATACTTTTGCTGGCACCATATTGAGAGGTCAGACACTTTTTTAACACTATTCCTAATCTCTGTTAAAGAATAGTGTTAAAACTCACTTTGACATTATCAAAAAAATTCACAATTAAATTAATGAACTTAACTGATCTAAAAGATCAATTAAATTCATTAACTTAATTGATCTTATATAGCCGTACAACACATCTATAAGATGCGTCGTGTGACTCATATACCAGATCCTCATTATTTCTGTGCTTTAAAAATGGTAGACATTATTAACCTTCATTGCCCATGTTTTACTGCAATATATCATAATACTCTGCATGCTGTATAAAACTTTCCTTTAATCGTGTACCTTTTGCTGTTAGAAGAAATAACTTTCTAAACTTGACTGAGGCATACCATACTCTTGCTCTTAATGCCTCTTCTGATCCACCAGCTGATCCAATTGTATCTCCAACATAACAAAACTCTCCACACACACACACACACACACACAAAAAACTATTTTCTTTATATTAAATACATTTTTTACACTTTTAACTTATGGCATTAGAGCACTTTGTATATTACTTTATTTTTTGTGAGTTCATTACTTAAAAATTATATAAACAATAGAGTTTGCTTCAAACCTCTTTCCTACACTTTAAGTATATTCAACTTGTTCATTCTTCACTTTACAATTAAATAAAAAATTTTTAAAAAAGTACTGTCACAGATTTATTATGTCAAAGGTGGGTTGTTTCCTAGTCATTAAAATTCCATTTACTATAGTTTTAATTGGCATTATATTCTTAGTTTTGAATAATAACAGTTTTGTTTATTGTAACTTTTGTAAAAGAATGGAAACGTTGATGTGATTCTTAAAAATGTTAAATTGCTATAAACCTCAAAAGTCATACAAAAAAATCTTAAATTTTGTGGTTTAAAAGTTGCATAAGTTTTTGACTAATAATAATATAATGATTAGTTTATTACTTTTAACTGTTAATGTTTAGCTTTAACTTACAGAGTTATTTTATTTTCATTTTAAATTTAATATATATATATATATATATATATATATATATATATATATATATATATATATATATATATATATATATATATACATACATATAGATGCAATCTATTTATTGTCAAAATAAGCTGTTAGCCAGGAACATATTTTTTACTGTGTTTTTGCAATATAAGAATATTTATTGTAGGGTCATTCCATATGAAATCATCCAGACT